AGGTATTATTCATGCCCGCTATCTATGGGGAGGAAATTCTATAAGTAAAATTTCAGTAATCTTAGAGTAGCTTTAGGGTAATTGTTTTGTACTTAGGAAATTGGAGTGTAAAGTATTGCGGTGTTGTTTTGTTTCAAAAGGGAAATGTTGTGTTGGCAATGTTGTATATGGGGCGAAAGAAATGTGTTTGTTGGTAGTGTCTCCTTAGAATAGAATAGATATGGTGGGTTAGAGGTGAAGTTTTGTAGGTCGGAAGTTAAAGTTAAGCTCATGTGAGTTATATAGTTGTTCTTGTTTTAGGGGTTTGGCAAGATTAAACATCTATGTAATTCGCAGTTTAACGGGGGTAAGGGGGTTTGTCAAGAGATATTTATTGGGTTTATTACGCGTACGTGTGCGTACGTGTGCGTACGTGTGCGTACGTGTGCGTACGTGTGCGTACGTGTGCGTACGTGTGCGTACGTGTGCGTACGTGTGCGTACGTGTGCGTACGTGTGCGTACGTGTGCGTACGTGTGCGTACGTGTGCGTACGTGTGCGTACGTGTGCGTACGTGTGCGTACGTGTGCGTACGTGTGCGTACGTGTGCGTACGTGTGCGTACGTGTGCGTACGTGTGCGTACGTGTGCGTACGTGTGCGTACGTGTGCGTACGTGTGCGTACGTGTGCGTACGTGTGCGTACGTGTGCGTACGTGTGCGTACGTGTGCGTACGTGTGCGTACGTGTGCGTACGTGTGCGTACGTGTGCGTACGTGTGCGTACGTGCTTATGTCCTGTTACCATTGACTGAAATTCACCCTGATAGGGTACGTTGGGGAGTCAACATTTCAATTTAAGTTCAGCTACAAGTTGCTTGACTGCTACGAGGCCCCCCTGCGGCCATAGCTGAGTCATAGCATCCCCAAAATATAAAAAATACCAAATGTATGACACCACAGTTATGTGTGAGCATGGGCTGATTAGTAATTAATCCATCGAGATGTCTTATTTAAGGGGAAAGAATGGGCGGTCACGGGTTTTCATGGCCCTGAAGAAAGAACCAGATGTCTGATAAAGTTCATTGTTAGCTACCCCCAAGTTAAATGGGCCCGGAGCGAGGTTAATGTATCCTTTTTACAAGGGTTGCTGATTTCACGTGAGTTGGTTATCAAGAGATAACCCTTTATCTGGTGGACTTAGATTTATGCGTTGATGCTGTTTAGTTGGATTTTGGTTTGTATGGTTTGGGTTTGTTAGTATAGGAGATTGTACTTGTGTGGATTGAGGGTTTTTGATTGGTGATGAATAGTCATGTGTGAGGATTTGTTCTTTTGATAAGTGTCTGTGTGTCTTATATGAATTGATTGTATGTACTTGCTTATATGCATGGGGGATATATATTAATGCACGATATACATAGGACGGGTGGGCGGTTATTGTAGTGAATAGGGTTTTTATTGTTAAGTATTTTGGGTAAAGTACCTAAATTTGGGTTAATGTTTTTAATTTTTATAGATGGGTAGATCAAGGAATAGTTTAAAGGTAGAATACCAGCTTTGGGTGTTGGTGGTGGGGCTAGTGCTTCTTCCTTGATTGTCTTGGGGAGGTTTAAAGTCTCCATTGCTGGTTTACAAGACCAGAGTAATAGTTATACTACAAAGACTCTTCATTTGAGTAGGTTATTTTCTATTAGGCTTGCTAGTGGTATAAGTACTAGGATGAGTGAGAAGTATAGGATGGATGCTAGTTGGCCGATGATAATAAATGGGTGTTCTACAGGTTGTCCTCCAATTCATGTGAGAGTAAATAGGTCTGCTACTAGAAGTCAGAATAAGCATTGGCTGATTGGTCGGAATATTATACTTCGTTGTTTTGAAGTATGTAAGAATGGTATTAGTGCTAATACCAGGATTGAGGACACTAGGGCCAGTACGCCTCCTAGTTTATTAGGGATTGATCGTAGAATGGCATATGCAAACAGAAAATATCATTCGGGTTTAATATGGGGTGGTGTGTTTAGTGGGTTTGCTGGAATGTAATTATCTGGGTCTCCTAGTAGGTCAGGTGAAAATAATACCAATGATGACAGAGCTAGAATTAGGATTAGTGCTCCTAGGATATCCTTGATGGTGTAGTAGGGGTGGAATGGAATTTTGTCCGTATCTGACGAGAGTCCTGACGGGTTGTTTGATCCCGTTTCGTGAAGGAATAGTAGGTGGACTCCAGCTAGTGCTGCAATGATAAATGGTAAGATAAAGTGGAAGGCAAAGAATCGTGTGAGTGTGGCCTTGTCTACTGAGAACCCACCTCAAATTCATTCTACTAAGTCTGTTCCGATGTAAGGAATGGCTGACAGTAAATTTGTAATTACCGTTGCACCTCAAAAGGATATTTGACCCCATGGTAAAACGTACCCTATGAATGCGGTAGCTATCACAGCAAATAACAGTAACACCCCGATGTTTCAGGTCTCTATAAATATATAAGACCCGTAGTATAGGCCTCGTCCTACGTGTAGAAATAAACAAATAAAAAATATGGATGCTCCATTTGCGTGTAAATACCGGATAAGTCAGCCATAATTCACGTCTCGGCAGATATGTGTGACTGATGAGAAGGCTGTTGCTGTGTCTGACGTGTAGTGTATAGCTAGGAATAATCCTGTAAGAATTTGGAGAATTAGGCAGATTCCTAAGAGTGATCCGAAGTTTCATCATGATGAGATGTTTGATGGTGCTGGTAGATCGATGAATGAGCTGTTAACAATTTTTATTAGTGGGTGTGTTTTTCGGATGTTTGTCATTAGAATTCTTGTAGTTGAATAACAACGATGATTTTTCATGTCATTGGTCATGGTTAAATTCCATGTGGGAATAATGATAACATACATTGTATTTATTTTAAGTACTATTTTTGTGATAAGTTTTGTAGGGTTTTCTTCGAAACCCTCTCCAATTTATGGTGGGTTGGGGTTAATTGTTAGTGGTGGGGTTGGGTGTGGTATTGTATTAAGTTATGGTGGTTCGTTCTTGGGTTTAATGGTGTTCTTGATTTATTTGGGTGGGATGTTAGTTGTGTTTGGTTATACGGCTGCTATGGCTATTGAGGAGTACCCTGAGGTTTGGGTGTCTAATAAGATTGTATTAAGTCTTTTTGTATTGGGAATGTTGACGGAACTGTTGTTTGTTGGATATTGTATCACTGATGAAAAGTTAGAGATTGTTTTAAATTTTAACGGACAGGGGGATTGAGTAATTTATGATACTGGTGATTCTGGGTTTTTTAGTGAGGAGGCTATGGGTATTGCGGCATTGTACAGTTACGGTACTTGGTTGGTTATTGTTACTGGATGATCTTTAGTTATTGGGGTGTTGGTTGTTATGGAAATTACTCGTGGAAACTAAATAACACTAGGCTTAGGAGTAGTGTAATTAGGAAAGATAGGAAGTACAGTTTTACCAGTCCCTTTTGATTAGATACTAGCGTTGAGGCTGTTATTTGAATATTAGACAGGGCTTTGGGGATGGCCGCTTCTATTCATGTAAGGTCCAATAGTATTGAGGCTGATTTTTGGCTTAGGATTAGGTTTATTGTGGGGAGGAGTCGGTGTATGATAATGGGGAAGAATCCTAATTGGTTTGAGAATTTGTGACTGTTGCTTGTATGTGGAAATTTCAGGTATTGTGTCATTGTGTTGAGTTCTATTGCTAGTACAAATCCTAGGATTGTTACTATGAGAGCTGTTAATTTCAAGTATAGTGGTATTGTTATTTGAGGCACGGTCATTGGGAGGAGGTTGTTTGAGATTACGAATCCTGCGAAGATACTTCCTATTAATAGACGTTTAATTGGGTTTACTAGAAATGGGTTGTTTTCATTGATTAAAATTATTGTTGAGAAACGTGGTTGTCCTAGGAGTGCAAAGAATATAATTCGTGTACTGTAGACAGCTGTTAGGGAGGTTGCGATTAGTGTAATTAGTAGGGCTCAGGCGTTGGTATACGACGTGTTGGCTGCTTCGATGATTAAGTCTTTGGAGTAAAATCCTGTAAGGAAAGGTATTCCTGTTAATGCGAGGCTTCCAGTAATTAGGGCTGTTGTCGTAAATGGTATGGCTTTAAATAGACCTCCTATTTTTCGGATGTCCTGTTCGTCGTTCAGATTGTGGATAATAGAACCAGAGCATATAAATAGTATGGCTTTGAAGAAGGCGTGTGTGCAGATGTGGAGAAATGCTAGATGTGGTTGGTTAATTCCGATAGTTACTATTATTAGGCCTAGTTGGCTTGAGGTTGAAAACGCTACAATTTTTTTGATATCATTCTGTGTTAGGGCGCAGATTGCCGTGAATAGGGTGGTTATTGCTCCTAGGCATAGTGTTAAAGTTTGAACTGTACTGTTGTTTTCTATCAGTGGGTAGAATCGGATTAGTAAAAATACTCCCGCTACAACTATTGTACTGGAGTGCAGTAATGCTGATACTGGGGTTGGACCTTCCATAGCTGATGGGAGTCACGGGTGTAGGCCGAATTGTGCTGATTTTCCCGTTGCTGCTAAAAGTAGTCCTAGTAGCGGTAGGATGTTTTGTCCTGTATTAGTTATGAAGATTTGTTGTAGTTCTCAGGAGTTGGAGTTGAATAGGAATCATGCCATGGAGAGTACGAAGCCAATATCTCCGATTCGGTTGTATAGGATTGCTTGTAGGGCCGCGGTGTTAGCGTCTGTTCGTCCATACCATCATCCAATTAAGAGGAAAGATATGATTCCCACACCTTCCCAGCCAATGAAAAGTTGGAAGAGGTTGTTTGCTGTTACTAGAATGAGTATTGTAATTAAGAATATTAATAGATATTTAAAAAATCGGTTGATGTTTGGGTCCGAGTGTATATATCATATTGAGAATTCCATAATTGATCATGTTACAAATAGTGCTACTGGTATAAATACTATAGAGAAATAATCCAGTTTTAGACTGATAGACAATTTTACTGAATTAATTGTTATTCAATGTCAGTTGGAGATTATAGCTTCTTGGCCTGAGTGGATAAATATTAGGGCTGGGATTATGCTGATTATAAAGGCACATGAGATTGTAGATTTTACGTAGGCTGGGAAGGTGCTTTCTTTGTATTTGCTGGTTAGTGTTGTTATGATTGGGAAGGTGAGAATCAGTAGTGATAGCAATAGAGAGGATGTTAATAGATTAATTACTTTTATTTGGAGTTGCACCAAGTTTTTGGTTCCTAAGACCAATGGATTACTACTATCCTATAAAAGTTGCAAGGGAGCCATATCGTTATATATGGGGACATGAATTAGCAGTTCTTGTCAGAACTCCCTCGGTAGATAAGGGGTATTATACCCTATTTTTAGACTCACAATCTAATGTTTTCGTTAAACTATATCTGCAGTATATAGTCCCTAGAATTAGTTTTGGGTTGAGGGTTAAGAGGAGCAGTGGGATTATGTGTAATGCCATTAGGGCGTGCTCTCGTGTAAATGATGGGTTGATATTAATGATATGGTGTGTGTATTTGCCTCGTTGGGTCTGGATTAATATGTATAGGGAGTATAAGGCTGTGATTACTATGTTTAGGCCCATTAGGATTATTGTAATATTTGATCATGAGAAGGATGATAATATTACGAGTAGCTCGCCAATTAAATTAATTGTCGGTGGGAGGGCTAGGTTTGTTAGGCTTGCTATTAACCATCATGCTGCTATTAGTGGTAGGAGGGTTTGTAAACCACGTGCTAGGATTATTGTTCGGCTGTGAATACGTTCGTAATTTGAGTTGGCTAGGCAGAATAGTATTGATGATGTTAAGCCGTGTGCGATTATTAGGGCTGTTGCTCCTATGTAGCTTCATGGTGTCTGGATTATGATGGCTACAATAACTAACGCTATATGACTTACTGAGGAGTAAGCAATTAGTGATTTTAGATCTGTCTGTCGTAGACAGATGGAGCTCGTCATAACTATTCCTCATAGGGATAGGGCCATAAATGGGTATGCTATGAAATTTGTGTGTGGTGATAGGATTATTGTAATTCGTATTATTCCGTAGCCCCCCAGCTTTAGCAGGATTGCTGCTAAAACTATGGACCCTGCGATTGGAGCTTCTACATGTGCTTTTGGTAGTCATAGGTGTAAGCCATATAGTGGTATTTTTACTATAAATGCTATGATGCATGCTAGTCATAGTAGAATGGAGGCTCATTCGTTTGGCAGTGGTATGGAGAGTAGCTGTATGATAATCAGGTTTAGTGATCCTGTAGAGTTTTGTAGATAGGTAAGTGCTACTAATAGTGGTAGGGAGCCTATAAGAGTATAAAATAAAAAGTACATGCCGGCATTTAGTCGTTCAGTCTGGTTTCCTCATCGGGTAATAATAATCAGTGTTGGTACTAGTGTGGCTTCAAATAGAATGTAGAATAAAATGAGTTCTGTTGCTGTAAATGTTATTACCAGAAATATTTGTAGTAGGATTAATATTGAAATATAAAGTTTTTTTCGAGTTGGGTGTTCGTTTGACAGATGGAATTGGCTGGCAATGAGTATGAGGGGTAGTAGTCATGTAGTTAGGACCAGTAGTGGGGCTGATAGTGGGTCTGAGAAAAAAGTTGTGGAGAAGTTTATGTTATTATCGTTTTGCTGGTTGAGATAGGATAGGCTTAGTAGGCTAATTAACAGGCTATATGTTGTAGTATTGATTCAGATTATATTATTTTTTGATAGTCATGTGAGAGGTAGTAATATGATAGTTGGCATAATAATTTTTAACATTGTAACAGATTTAAATTCTGCACGTAGTCTACACCGTATGTGTTTGATACTATTACTAGAAGTGAGAGGCCAATGGCGGCTTCGCATGCGGCAAATACTAGAAGAATGATTGGGAGCATGCTGGCTAGGGTGAAGTGGATATTTAGGATTATGATAGTGCTTAGAATAAATAGGGCTAATATTATGCCTTCTAGACACAATAGGGATGATATCAGGTGAGACCGGAATATCAGGAGGCCTAGTAAGGAGACTGAAAATGCAATTATAATATTTATATACACTAAAGACATTTGATAATTGTAGTAATTACTACAATCTAATGAGTCGAAATCATTTGTTTTATTTAAACTAATTATCAATTCTGTTCATTCTAGGCCTTTTTGAGTCCATTCATATGCTAGGCTTAGCGCTAGAAGTGAGATAAGAATCAGGGCTATTGTGAGGACCGTTTTTACGTCATTTGTTTGAGATGCTCATGGGAGTGGTAGTAGCAGGGCGATTTCTAGGTCGAATAGTAAAAATGTGATTGCTACGAGGAAGAATTTTATAGAGAAAGGGAGTCGGGCTGACCCTATGGGGTCAAATCCACACTCGTATGGGCTTGATTTTTCTGCATATGTGTTTAGTTGGGGTAGTCAGAATGCAATTAGTACTAAAATAGAGGATAGTAGAGCGTTTACGGTGATTGTAAGTAATATGTTAATTATTCTTCCTCGGGCTGTACCGAGACTAGTTGATTGGAAGTCAACTGTACTGGTTAATACTAAAAGAATAGGATCCTCATCAGTAAATAGAGACGTACAGGAATAGTCATACTACGTCTACGAAATGTCAGTATCAGGCGGCTGCTTCAAATCCGAAGTGGTGTTTTGATGTAAAGTGATATTTTAGTTGACGGACGAAACATACCGTCAGGAAAGTTGTTCCGATAATTACATGTAGTCCATGAAATCCTGTTGCTATAAAAAATGTTGACCCGTATACACCATCTGAGATGGTAAATGGTGCTTCGTAATATTCTGCTGCTTGTAGAACTGTGAAGTATACTCCTAGAGCAATCGTGATGAATAGTGCTTGGATTATATGTTTTCGGCTTCCTTCTATTAAGCTGTGGTGGGCTCAGGTAATAGAAACCCCTGAAGCTAGTAGTACCGATGTATTAAGGAGTGGAACTTCCAATGGATTTAGTGGGTGAATTCCAGCTGGTGGTCAAAATCCTCCTAATTCGTGGGTTGGGGCCAGACTGGAGTGGTAGAAGGCTCAGAAAAATCCGGCGAAGAAGAATACTTCTGAAATGATAAATAGGATTATGCCATATCGGAGTCCTTTTTGGACAATAGGAGTATGATGTCCTTGAAATGTTCCTTCTCGAACGATATCCCGTCATCATTGATATATTGTTAGTGAGTTCGCTAAAAGTCCTATGCATAGAAGGGTTGTTGAGTTAAAGTGGAATCACATTACTAAGCCGGAAGTCAGTAGTAAGGCTGATAAAGCCCCTGTGAGTGGTCATGGGCTTGGGTTTACTATGTGGTATGCATGGGTTTGGTGTGTCATTAGGTGTTATCGTGTAGGTATAGGCTCACTAGCAGGGTGAAGACATACGCTTGGATTAGCGCTACGGCGAATTCTAGGATAGTTAATAGGACTAGAATGATGAACGTAATTAGGGCTGTGGCAGTACTGATGCTCATTAGGGCTAGTGTGGCCCCTCCGATTAGGTGGATCAGTAGGTGACCTGCAGTGATATTAGCGGTGAGCCGTACGGCTAGCGCTATTGGTTGAATAAACAAACTAATAGTTTCGATAATAATTAGTATTGGGATAAGTGGTAGTGGGGTTCCTTGTGGTAAAAAATGTGCTAGGGATGCTTTTGTTTTGTGGCGGAACCCGGTGACTACGGTTCCTGCTCAAAGTGGGATGGCTATGCCAAGGTTTATTGAGAGTTGGGTAGTAGGAGTGAAAGAGTGTGGTAGAAGTCCTAGCAGGTTGGTTGATCCGATAAATAGAATTAAAGACATAAGCATTAGGGCTCATGTTTGTCCTTTTGCATTGTGAATTGTTATTATTTGTTTTGATGTTAGTTGAACTAGTCACTGTTGGAGTGAAACCAGTCGGTTATTAATTAGTCGAGTAGGTGAGGGAAATATGATGCTGGGGAATATAATAATTAGGACTACAATAGGTAATCCTATTATTGTAGGGGTAATGAAAGAGGCGAATAAATTTTCGTTCATTTTGTCTCTCAAGGGGTGTTATGTTTTAACGATTTTATGGATTTTAATTCTGGGCTTGGTGGGTAGATATATTTCGAGATTTTTAGTTGAAATAAGATAAACAGTGTAATAGTAGTTGCTAAGATAGTAATAAATCATGTGGATGTATCTAGTTGTGGCATATCATTAAGGAGAGGTCTGAGCTCCCATTCTTTAACTTAAAAGGTTAACGCTTAAATAGCTTCTTAATGACTTTATAGTATAGATGAGGACCATTTTTCGAAGTGTTTTAAAGGGACTATTTCAAGTACGATAGGCATAAAGCTATGGTTTGAACCACAAATTTCTGAACATTGTCCGTAATATAGGCCAGGTCGAGTTGATAATAGGGTTGTCTGGTTTAGTCGTCCTGGGATTGCGTCTGTTTTTAACCCTAGAGATGGTACGGCTCATGAGTGTAATACGTCTTCAGATGAAATCAACATTCGGATGGTTATTTCTATTGGTAGTACCACTCGATTATCAACTTCTAGCAGTCGTAGTTCCCCTGGTTTCAGGTCGGTTGTTGGTACTATATATGAATCGAATGTTAAGTCCTCGTAGTCAGTATATTCATAACTTCAATATCATTGATGACCCATTGTTTTTACTGTTAGTGATGGGTTGTTGATTTCGTCTATCATATAAAGGATTCGTAGTGATGGAAGAGCGATTATAATCAAAATAATGGCAGGCAGGATAGTTCAAATAGTTTCTACTTCTTGTGCATCTATTGTGCTTGTGTGTGTCAGTTTGGTCGTTAATATAAGTGAGATAATATAGAGTACCAGAGAACTAATTAGGAAGGCGATTATAAGCGCGTGATCGTGGAAGTGTAGTAGTTCTTCTATGATAGGTGATGTTGCGTCTTGGAGGCCAAATTGAAATGGATATGCCATAGAGATATAAAGGACTTTAACCTATAATTTAACTTTGACAAAGTTATGTAAATATTTTACTAATACCTCGCTCATAGAGAAAGACATAGTGGTTATGAGGTTGGCTTGAAACCAATTTTAGGGGGTTCGAATCCTTCCTTTCTTGTTTATTTTGGGTTTACGTACGTAGGTTCTTCAAATGTGTGATAGGGTGGCGGACAACCATGCAGTCATTCGATGTTGGTTGTTGTTAATTCTACAGTGGAGACTTCTCGTTTTGAAGCGAAAGCCTCTCAGATTATAAATACTATTAGTATTACTGCTGTTAGTGAGATGAATGATCCTATGGATGATACTGTGTTTCATGTGGTGTATGCGTCTGGGTAATCTGAATAACGTCGAGGCATGCCTGATAGGCCTAAGAAGTGCTGAGGGAAGAATGTTATATTCACCCCTACAAATATAATGGCAAAGTGAATTTTTGCTCAGGTTTGACTTAATGTATAGCCTGTGAATAGTGGAAATCAGTGAACAAACCCTGCGAGAATAGCAAATACTGCTCCTATAGACAATACGTAGTGGAAGTGAGCTACTACGTAGTATGTATCATGTAAAACAATATCTAGTGAGGAATTAGCTAGGACAATTCCTGTTAATCCTCCTACTGTGAATAGGAAAATAAAGCCAAGGGCTCATAATATGGCTGGCGATCATTTGATGTTTCCTCCATGTAGGGTCGCCAGTCAACTAAATACTTTTACCCCGGTAGGGATGGCAATAATCATAGTTGCTGATGTAAAGTATGCGCGTGTATCTACGTCTAGTCCTACTGTGAATATGTGGTGGGCTCATACGATAAAGCCTAAAAACCCGATTGACATTATTGCTCATACCATTCCTATATACCCAAATGGTTCTTTTTTTCCTGAGTAGTATGTTACGATGTGTGAAATAATTCCAAATCCTGGTAGAATTAGAATATATACTTCTGGGTGTCCGAAGAATCAGAATAGATGTTGATATAGGATTGGGTCGCCGCCCCCGGCCGGGTCAAAGAATGTGGTGTTTAAATTTCGGTCTGTTAAAAGTATAGTGATGCCCGCGGCCAGAACCGGAAGTGAAAGTAATAGTAATACGGCAGTAATTAAAATTGATCATACGAATAGCGGAGTTTGATATTGGGATATTGCTGGCGGTTTTATGTTAATAATAGTTGTAATAAAGTTAATTGCCCCTAAAATAGATGAAACACCCGCCAGGTGTAGAGAGAAAATAGCTAGATCTACAGAAGCCCCGGCATGGGCTAAGTTTCCTGCCAGGGGTGGATACACGGTTCATCCTGTGCCAGCTCCCGCTTCAACTGTGGAGGATGCTAGCAGTAGTAAGAAAGATGGAGGTAGAAGTCAAAAGCTTATATTATTTATTCGGGGGAATGCTATGTCGGGTGCTCCAATTATTAGTGGAACTAGTCAGTTGCCAAATCCGCCTAATAGAATTGGTATAACCATAAAGAAGATTATTACGAAAGCGTGGGCTGTTACAATTACATTGTAGATTTGGTCATCTCCTAATAGAGTACCTGGCTGTCCCAGTTCAGCGCGAATTAGTAAGCTTAGGGCTGTACCGGCCATTCCGGCTCAGGCACCAAATAACAGATATAATGTGCCGATGTCTTTGTGGTTTGTTGAGAATAATCAACGGTTGATGAACATAGGTAAAATGGCTGAGTAAGCATTAGACTGTAAATCTAAAGACAGAGGTTTAAATCCTCTTTTTACCAAGCCTTGTGGTGAAATTTCACATTGAATTGCAAATTCGAAGAAGCAGCTTCAATTCTGCCGGGGCTTCTCCCGCCTCTTTTTTCTTCGAGGCGGGAGAAGTAGATTGAAGCCAGTTGTTTAGGGTGTTTAGCTGTTAACTAAAATTTCGTGGGATCAAAGCCCTCCAATCTAGTAAGGACTTAGCTTAATTAAAGTGATTGATTTGCATTCAGTTGATGTAGGATAGAGTCTTGCAGTCCTTAATTTTGCAGGAGTTAAGTAAATTATACTTGCTTAGGGCTTTGAAGGCTCTTGGTCTGGTGTAACCTAAACTCCTATTCCAGAATTAGTAGTATTGGTGTTAATGGTAGAAGCATAGTTGATAGGATTACTAGTGGTGATAGTATTGGTGTCTTTTTTATGTTTTCAAATTGTCATTTCATTTTTATATTGTTAGTTGATGGGAATATTGTAAGTGATGTGGAGTATGTGAGTCGTATATAAAAATATAAGTTTAGTAGTGCTGTGACTGCTATGATAGTTGGTAGAATAATGCTGCCGTTCTTTGTAAGCTCATTGATGATCATTCATTTTGGTAGGAATCCTGATAGTGGTGGTAGTCCGCCTAATGAGAGCATTGTTAATAAAATTAGTGTTGATATTAGTGGTATTTTGTTTCACAGATGGGATAGTGATAGGGTTGTTGTTGATGAGTTAATGTATAGTAGTATAAATACTGTAAGTGTTAGGGTGACATAAATAATTAGGTTTAATGTTGTCATTGTGGTGTTGTAGGTTATGATGGCGGCTATTCAGCCCATGTGTGCAATGGATGAGTATGCTATGATCTTCCGTAATTGTGTTTGGTTTAGTCCTCCTCACCCTCCTACAGCAATGGACAGTATGGCTGTTGTCAACATCAGGTTAGTGTTGATTGAGTGCGCGGTTTGCATGAGTACTGATAGTGGAGCGATTTTTTGTCATGTTAGTAGGATTATGCCTGACGTTAGTGGTACTCCTTGTGTTACTTCGGGTACTCAGAAGTGGAATGGGGCCATGCCTAGTTTTATGATTATGGCAATTGTTATTATTGTAGAGGCAAGGTCGTCAGTTATTTTTATTGTAGTTCATTGACCTGAATATGTTAGGTTAATAATAATGGCTAGTATAAGTAGCATTGAGGCCGTAGCCTGTGTCAGGAAATATTTTGTTGCTGCTTCTATTGAGCGTGGGTTGAAATTTTTTATTAGTATTGGAGTAATTGCTAATATGTTTATTTCGAACCCAATTCAGATCATTAATCAGTGTGAGCTGATTAGTACAATTATTGTACCTAATATTACAGTAAATGAAATTAGAGAAAATACTAGTGGGTTTATTAGTACGGGAAGGATATAAACCAACATTTTCGGGGTATGGGCCCGATAGCTTATTTAGCTGACCTTACTATAGGATATGGTGTAATATGGTAGCACGAAGATCTTTGAATTCTTAGGAGTAGGTTCAAGTCCTGCAATTCTAGAAATAAGAGGGCTTAAACCTCTATTATTTACTCTATCAAAGTAACTCTTTTATCAGACATATTTCTTGTTATTGTGGTGGGATTCCCGATAGAAATACTGGTAGTGAAACGTGTCATATACATAGTGCTAGTGTTAGTGGTAGAAAGTTTTTTCATAGTAGGTGTATTAGTTGGTCATATCGGAATCGTGGGTATGAGGCTCGTACTCATAGGAACGAGGTTGTTAGGATTAGTGCTTTAATTATAAAATTAATTGAGTAAAGTTCTGGGAAGTATGGGTTGTGGAATGCCCCTAGGAATAAAATTGTTGTTAGGACATTTATTATGATGATGTTTGCATATTCTGCTAGGAAAAATAGGGCAAATGGGCCTGCTGCATATTCTACGTTAAAACCTGAGACTAGTTCTGATTCTCCTTCTGTTAGGTCGAATGGGGCTCGATTTGTTTCTGCTAGGGTTGAGATAAATCACATCATGGCTAGTGGTCATGATGCGAATAAGAGTCATGTATACTCTTGTGTGATGATTAGGTTTGATAGAGAAAAGGACCCGCTTATTAGAAGAATTGACAGAAGGATAATAGCTAGTGTTACTTCATATGAGATGGTTTGTGCTACAGCCCGTAGGGCCCCAATTAGGGCATATTTAGAGTTGGAAGCTCAGCCTGATCATAAGATTGAGTATACGGCCAAACTTGATACTGCCAGCATAAATAGGACCCCTAAATTTATGTTGATTAGTGGGTATGGTATTGGTAGTGGAATTCACATGGTTAATGCTAGTGTAAGGGCTAGGATGGGGGCAATAATAAATATAGAGATTGATGAAGTTAGCGGTCGTAGTGGTTCTTTGGTAAATAATTTTACTGCGTCGGCAATTGGCTGTAGTAGTCCGTAGGGGCCTACGATGTTAGGACCTTTTCGTAGTTGCATATATCCTAACACTTTTCGTTCAACTAGTGTTAGGAATGCTACGGCGAGCAGAATTGGCACAATTAAGGTTAAGAGGTTAATTATGTACATGTTGTTAGGGAGAGGAGTTGAACCTCTGAATGTAAAAGTTTAAGTTTTATGCAATTACCGGGCTCTGCCACCCTAACGAGGCCCTATTTCTAGGGCAGAATTCTTATAAATTACTAGATTGAGATTATATCATCTATTAATTTTAAGGCTCCCATGCAGGGTTGGCCTCATTTCTCTTGTCCTTTCGTACTGGGAGAAATATACAATAGATAGAAACCGACCTGGATTGCTCCGGTCTGAACTCAGATCACGTAGGACTTTAATCGTTGAACAAACGAACCATTAATAGCGGTTGCACCATTGGGATGTCCTGATCCAACATCGAGGTCGTAAACCCTATTGTCGATATGGACTCTTAAATAGGATTGCGCTGTTATCCCTAGGGTAACTTGTTCCGTTGATCAAAATTAATTGGATCAATTATGATTTTTACAGGTCTTGACTTGTAGGTCTTAACTGAAATCTCTCGGAGGTTATTTTGTACTCCGAGGTCACCCCAACCGAAATTACTAGCTCAGTTACGGTAGTGTTGTTGCCTGTTGGGTTATTATGTTATTTTCTTGAGCTAGCTAATTAAAGCTCCATAGGGTCTTCTCGTCTTATTTTATTATTCCCGCCTCTTCACGGGAAGGTCAATTTCACTGATTGGAAGTAAGAGACAGTTAAACCCTCGTGTGGCCATTCATACAAGTCCCTAATTAAAGAACAAATGATTATGCTACCTTTGCACGGTCAGGATACCGCGGCCGTTTAACTTATGTCACCGGGCAGGCAGTGCCTCTGATACTATTAATGCCAGAGGTGATGTTTTTGGTAAACAGGCGGGGTTTCTGTTTGCCGAGTTCCTTTTACTTCTTTTAATCTTTCCCTAATTTTAGCACACCTGTGTTGGATTAACAATCTGCGTAATAAGTGTTTTATGTTTAGTTTCTTATTATTAGTTTGTTAACTATCAGTGGGTTATCCGGTCTGATATAGACTTGTGCTGGGAGAAATAATTCTTGTTACTCATATTAACAGTATTTCTTCTATTTATATAGATTAGTCCAGTTGAAGTTTGGGAGTTAGTTGAACTATTGAAATTACAATATACGTATTGTTGAGCTTGAACGCTTTCTTAATTGATGGCTGCTTTTAGGCCAACTATGATTGTTTTTTATACTTACTCTCCGTTTAAGGTTGTTTCCTGTATCTAAAGGGCTGTACCTCTTTAGATTATCATTTAATCCTGCATTATAATTTTTATGGTGTTGTTTTGCATGGGTTAAAGTCGAACTTATATTCTTTTTCTGGACAACCAGCTATCACCAGGCTCGTTAGGCTTTTCACCTCTACCTGAAAGTCTTCTCACTATTTTGCTACATAGACGAGTTCGCTCTTTGTGTGCTGCTCTCAGGTAGCTCGTCTGGTTTCGGGGCACTTAACTTAAGTTCTCTTTGCTAAGGTTTTCTAGTTAACTCATTATGCAAAAGGTAAAAGGGGTAAGCTTTGCTGTTTATTACTTTAAATTTTTCTTTCACTCGTTCCCTTGCGGTACTTTCTCTATAGCGCCTTAAAAATATTTCTATCTCCTATACTTTAATTAGTAAATGTTTTGTTTAATGTTTATGTGTTAGTTGAGTTTTAGTCTATAGTTGGGCTAGCTTTAGTTCAAAGTGGTCATTTTTAATGAAATCTTCTGGGTGTAGGCCAGGTGCTTTTGTTTAAGCTACACTTTGGTTAATCCAAGCACACTTTCCAGTATGCTTACCTTGTTACGACTTATCTCCTCTCATACTTGTTGCCGTGAGATTATATATAGTGTCTGGTGTTGATACTTGAGGAGGGTGACGGGCGGTGTGTGCGTGCTTCATGGCCTTATTCAATTAAGCGCTCTATTCTTAATTTACTACTAAATCCTCCTTTAACCTTTCGTTTCATAAAGGTCTTCGTTTACGAGTATATATTCTAAAATAGAAAATGTAGCCCATTTCTTCCCAACCCATCAGCTACACCTTGACCTAACGTTTTTATGTCTATACTTGTGCTTACTATAATTCCTTTTAAGGGTTTGCTGAAGATGGCGGTATATAGACTGGATTAGCAAGAGTTGGTGAGGTTTATCGGGGTTTATCGATTACAGAACAGGCTCCTCTAGAGGGATATAAAGCACCGCCAAGTCCTTTGAGTTTTAAGCTGTAGCTAGTAGTTCTCTGGCGAACAATCTTGTTAACTTGATTGTCTTGGTTTAGGGCTAAGCATAGTGGGGTATCTAATCCCAGTTTGGGTCTTAGCTATAGTGTAATCAGAAAAGTATTAAAGCCACTTTCGTAGTTTGTTTTTACTTTAACTATAGGTTTTTACATCTTAGTTAAGTCTTGGCTTTATTTTGTTGTACTCCTAAACACTCTTTACGCCGTACGTCTATTAACTTGGGTTAATCGTATGACCGCGGTGGCTGGCACGAAATTTACCAACCCTTTGTCAGTATAACTTAGTCAAACTTTCGTTCATGGCTTAATTTTTATCACTGCTGTATCCCGTGGGGGCGTGGCTAGGCAAGGCGTCATAAGCTACCTAAAATTAGGTGTACTTGATGCCAACTCCTTTTTGTCACGTGTGACTTTAAGGGTATTCTCACTGGTATGCGGAGACTTGCATGTGTAATTTTACTGACAGCTAATAGAAAGGCTGGGACCAAACCTTTTTGTGTTTATGGAGTCGTGAGACTCATCTAGGCATTTTCAGTGCCTTGCTTTATTGATTTAAGCTACATTAAC